TTCTGTGAACAAAACTATTTACCTTCTTCTTCCTTTCCAATCTAGATAACTTTTATTTCTTATTCTTGCTTGACAACACTGTCTAAAATTTCAATGTTAAATAGAAGTGGATGTGAGTTAAAAACTTTTTCTAGTTGGGGTAGTGGGAATGGCACTATTTCCTTTATTTGAGTGTTGGGCATTGTTTCCTTTAATCCTTTCAGATGGCTCTTTTCCTGTTCCTGGATAGCTGCATCATATGTATACGTTGATCAGCATTTTGCTCTAGGAGGAAACACTGTAGCTCTCTGAAATTCTTTTGTGAGCTGCAGATGCTTTAGTTCCTCTGGTTTCTCATCTTCATCTCCCAGCTTAAAAAGCTCAGTGGTTTCCTCCTGGGCTTCCCCTCCCTTTGCTACATCCAGAAATTATGTTGAGATTAGTAAATGGGTATGATTGTTAGGTTTCCCATCTGTCCCATCACTTTTTTTTCATTGTTTGATATCCTGTGTCTTAAAAACCATTGTTTTCATTTATTTTGTCTATTTTGGGAGAATGGGTGTGGGGTTTTCAGGTAGGAGGTTAAATCTGGTACCTGTTACTCTATCTTTCTATCTTGGTTGGTAGTGAGAATCTAAAGCTTTGACTATTTCTTATCTTACAAAACTTCACTTAAATGTTTCTGTGTTAGATAGGCCATTCTCTGATAACACCCTCAAAAATAGGTCCACCTTATCTCATTTTTCCCTATCATTGCATTGCCACCTTTTTTCAATTATCTATGAATTTATTTATCTGTATGTTACCTATTATAAATGAAAGGAAAAGACCATAACTGTTTCACTCATCACTATATACTTAATGCCTAGAAAAATGTTTGACACAAGAGATGCTCAATAAAATATTATTTGAATGAATGAATTTTTCCCCATTTATTGTTCACCATAATTTTTGCTGATTTTTGTTTCTTAAAGCATTCCTTCTTTAATTTTTTTTTGTTTACTTCTCCATTCCTGTCTTTCTGTTCATTTTAAAATACTTATTTGCCTTTCTTGGCTAGTTCTCTTATCATCCCCTTTTCTTTTATTTCTTCTTTATTTTTCAGATGTTTTTAGGATCTGTTATCATCCCCCTGCCCTCTGAAAAGAAAGGGATAATAGGCCCGGGACTCTCCAAAGGATCCCTTGTTGCATAACTAGAAATTAATGCACAACTAGAAATTGATGCACAAGCAATGTAGACAATCCTCTAAATTAAGCCTACTTTTCAAACTTCCCTTAATTCAAATGGCATAATATCAGTTTTTACATAGTAAAATTTATGTGATTATCACAAGTAGAACTATTACTAGGCAATGAGGCAGCAGCCTGAGTTTTAGCCCTAACTATTCCACAGATTGCTTATGATTCTGGAAGTTATTTAACCTCTCTGTGATGTGGGTTGGTTCATCTTTTATAATAATTATAATAACTAACATTTATAGAATCACTTTTATTAACATTAACCCAGAAAAGTTCTACAACTCTCTAAGGGAGATAGAAATTGCAATTTTTACTTTATATATTAGAAGAAAGAAACTCAGAGTGATTAAATGCCTTGTTTAAGATTATAAATGTATGAAGTAGCTAATAAATGGAAAAGGTAAAACAATGTAAATCTGATCAGATGTCTGCTGTTCTTTTCAAAGCATTTTTCTGCTTCTAAAAATCATAATCTGTAAAATATGAAGGTTTTCTCTCAACTACAAAATTTTATTATTCTATGATGTGAAAGTTTTGCAGATTGGTAATTTAAAGATTTGGGGAGATCAGCTGCTTGGAGCCTAACCTATGGAATAAATTGACCAGTAAAGGAGTCATTGATATAATTTCATTGATAGTGTGCAAAAACTGAGGTGTTTTCTGATTATAAAATAAAGGACTTGGTTTCCAATGTTCCTGAAACTTTAGAAAAGACACTTAGAGATCCAAGATTATACAGTGAAAAGCCTATCGAGTAACTTTAGTGTCAGATAGGCATAAGTTTGGGTCCCACTTATTCTGTGTGACTTTGAGAGACTAATTTCATTTTCTTCAACTTCAATTTTCTCATGTGTAGAGAAATATACTAATATGTACCAATCTGCCTCAAAGGGTTATAATCACTATTAGATAATATAACACTGAGTCAAATTGACTAGCAGAGTAGAACACATAATCAATGGAACTGGGTTCTATCACCCCAAATATGAACAATGCGTATATGCTTTTCTGAAAGTTAAGAAACAATTCATGAAAAGGCTGAACAGTGTCTACTGTAATAAAGTGAGACTATAGAAATATAATCAGATTATATTATCCAATAGTTAAACTTCAAGTCAAATTTTCATAAAATGTATTTTGAAAAGCAATTGTAGGATATACCTTTGAGTGGTTAAAGAATCAATCCCTTTTCATAATATACAATATTGATCATTCAGAGAAGACTTTTAGGAAATCTGATTTTAAATCCTAGGGCTTGTCTGAGCCCCTGTGGAGCTCACTGGTAGAGATACAGAGGATTTCTTTAAGTCCTTCTACTTACTTGATTTTACTTCTGACTTAAAACGTTAGGTCTCTAGTTAGAAATTATGATTACTTTTGCAAAATTCTGGTGAACTCAGTACCTAGTTCTTCTCTCATTTGTCAGATTTGAAAAGTTCCCTGGTAGTTCATGTGAGAGAAAAAATGCCTGCTGCCATGCTCTGTCTATCCTACTGACATCATCATTTACTTACAGATCTTATGACTTTTGCTAGATGTAGAGAATATAAAGAATTTTAGATATGATCTTGAGATTCTTGTCATGCATTTGGAAAGGTAGAGCATAAGTATAAAAGTAAGGAGCCATACAAATGAATCCAGGCTAAATGTCAACTAAATGGTTCAAGCAAGCCTGTACTGTGTACAAACCTGGACACTGGAAGCGTTTAAATAAAGGAATTGGCACAACGGGGCTCTGATGGTGGTAGGAAAGGCTTACTATAGAAAGTAAACTTTTAGTAGGGCGTTTCCAGAGAGGGAATAATATGAGTAAATCATAATGGTAGTAAGATACAAAAATTTGGCTTAAGAGGAGAATAGTGGAAAATCCATTTGAAGATGTTGATAGAAATTATACTTTAGAGGATCCTGAATGAAGGTTTTTTAAAAAAATTCTGAAGGAAATATAAGAAATATAAGAAAATATATTATTGAGATTTCTCAGAACTTTTTAAAACTTTACATCATGGCTGATACTATCGGATCCTGATGATCTAAGAGCCCGTTTCTGCTCCTGATCTTCAGTCTCCAATTTAGCTTCTTACCATAAAATAATTACAAGTTTATTACAGAAAAATCAGAATATGTTGTAAAGCTAAAAGAAGTCTATAAAATTCACAAAGTGTTGTTCCAGAAACTTTTCTGTCTCTACACACACACACACACACACACACACACACACACACACACACAATGTAGGAGATCCTACCTTCAGAAGGCTAAACTGGGATTCTGAAGTCTGAATATGTGTATTAAACCATGCTGAGACTATTTACAGAAAAGTTTTGGCTGAAATCCTTTATGTGGTGCAGAGGATGGGTGTGAAAAAATGGCACAGAGCAGGAATCAGCAAATTTTTAATGTAAAGAATAGGACAGTAAACATTTCAGGCCTTGTGGCCATATAGTTTCTGCTGCAGCTACTCAACTCTGCCATTGTAGTGTGAAAGCACTGAAGGACAATATATAAATGAATAATTGTGACTATGTCCCAATAAAACTTTATTACAGAAACTGAAATTTCATACAATTTTCAGATGTCAAGAAATATCATAGTTATCATAGTATCAAATAAGCTTCTGTTTTAGGAGCAGCAGAAGCCAACATAGATACCAATATTCTCACACATGGCAACAGGAACAGAGAGAGTGGGAAGGATTCCTAAAAGGGGGTGCTCTGCTAGAGTAGAAAACTAGAGAATATTTATGAGCAAAAATTACTCAACTTCTGGACACTCCCAGGAACATTTTGAGGATTTCACAGAGACTGACTTATGTAAGCTAAGGGCATAAACCAGTTAAGTTTTAGGTTATGTTACTGATAAAATTCCATTAGTATCTATGAACTGGTGAGGTCTGAAGAAATTCAGGTTACAAACAACATATATGTGTGAGTGTGTGTGTGTGTATAAAATGTATATGTTACACAACTCTAAGGCCATTTTTTTTACATATTGTAAAGCAGCCTGCTTTTTAACAGAATATATTAACATATGATAAACTTTTTTTATGTCAATAAATATTTACCCATAACATCACTAGTGTCATCTGTACCTCCAGTCACACACACTCTCACTCTTCATCCTTTCTATACCAGTTTTTATAATTGCTTACTCTAGACAACTTCGGATCTGTGTTTGCTACCATGGTAAATGTTGATCTTATTTACTCATTTACTTTTTACCTTACTTATCCTACTTTATAATGTTTGGGTGCCTTAAATCACCATAGAAATATGTGTTTGTATATTTTAATAAAAATAATCAGAAATCAGGAATACTTAGTTATCTTCAAGGGATACAATTATTTAAAAGAAGCAAATGGTTAGTCCCTGGTTAGAATAGTACTATAAAATGGCCAAAGCATAAGGCTGCCAAAATAAGAAAGCATTGACTTATTACTTATACTGGTATCAGTAATAAGTTTTATTATTTACAGGGCATCATAGCTCTTCTTTCTCAAAATAAAAGACAGTGACTGTTGGAATAGCAGGACATGGTCTGCATGGTTTGAAATAAACACAAAAACAATGGGTATGATTGAATGGGTACAGGACAATAATGGATTGAAATATTTCTATAATAATTTTTATGAAAATTATCAGGTTGCACACCATAACAAAACAAAAATTTGCATGCATGCTGAATGTGTTTTAAGAAACACATTACTGAGCACTGATGTATGGATTTAACTCAAGCATTATGACTTAAAAAGGCTATTTGCCTAACCTTTATATAACTTACTCTGATAGGAAGTACGGATCCGTTTCGTTAAATCAGGATAAAAGTTAGACAGGCCACGCATGCAAAAGTTGTCTTTGGAACATGCCAGAACACCAGCATCAGCAGCAGGCAGAAGAAAGAGAAAAAAAGTCTAAAGTGAAAGGAAGTGATATCATACCAGAATCTAGAACAGCCAAGATGAAGAAATTGCAGCAAGATTAGGTAATTAAATTAGAGAGGAGATATTAATAAAATAAATCAATTATAAAGTAAGAGGTGATAGATGAATGATGAGAATGTGGTAATAATTTTAATCTTTATTTAAATATTTAATATAAAAATATTTATAAATATTTATATCTTATTTAAATGTCTTATATAAGTAGATGGCATATTTTCCTAACATGTTTTTACAAAATACAATTATTTGGCTTGTAACTAATATGTATAAATTATTTCATTAATATAAAAATGATTGTCTTTAATCCTTCCACAATTAAAAAGAAAGCTAAAGATTTCAGTCTTTAATATTTCATTGTTATAATATAAAGTGAGTTCTGATTTTGTTATCTTGTACACTAAACACAAACTGAGTTTATAACTTCACAGATTTTCCTGATTTTAAAGTCATCAATGTTCTAAGCTCTAGTAGTAACTGTTAAGGTTCAAGCAGTTTAAATTAAATTAAATAACAATTGCATTACCTTTGTCAAAATATATACTTTTTTTGCCCCACTGTGTATATCCAGCAAGTGATTTAGATGTTATCATAGGATTCACAGCTTTTCTGATTATATTGGTGCTTTTAGCATTGCAAACTGAACACCTGAAACATGGTTATTGTGACTGAGGAACTAAATTTTTAATTATAAATAGCCTACTGCCCCCAACACCTTTCTACCCTAGAGTCCATCAACTTCAAACTTGTCTTTCTCAATCATGAGGAAACCTTATGTTATGTGAATGTACAATTGCTTTTTATTTTGTCTTCCTTTCAAAATCTGGTACTGATAGAGGCAAAATCTCTAGAATTTGAAATTTCTAGCTCTCCTAAAATATTGCTAAAATTTGAGATTCCTCACTGAAAACCCTTGGTTTCTGAAAGAGAAATTTTGCGCCCCTCAAAAAGGTCTAAACTGGTAATTTGGAAATGATTGAGTTTTGCAAAAGAAAGGATAACAAGAAGAGTTTCAGTATAACAATTTTCATTAGTCCAAAAAGGAAATTCATTTATTATCACATTTGGATGTTAAATTTGACATGCCTGCTATTTGGAAAATAACACCTACCATCATATACCCTTTTTATTTTTTATTATAAAATATTTTCCTATGGTTATATTTAGTAATGTAATCAATATTCAACAGATTATTTTAAATAATATATGTAGAAATTTTATTTTACTTATTTAAAAAATTTTAAAAGTTATTATTATTATTATTATTATTTTTAGAGATGGGGTCACACTGTGTTACCTAGACTGGTCTTGAATTCCTGGCCTCAAGAAATCCTCTCACCTCAGCCTCCCAAAGTACTGGAATTACAGGCATGAGCCACCATATCTGGCCCGAAGTAGAAGATTTTAAAGGATTGTCTAAAATAACACTTAATATTATAGAAGCATTTTCATCTCAACCTTTTGGCCTAATTTTTTTTTTTTACCAACCGGACTGTCAACGGACAGAAAATATGCAAAACTTTGGCAGTGTTTCCAAAGCCAACTATTTGGATATATACTAAAATTTCAGTAAAACTTTGGATAATTGGCATATCAAAGTTTGGCATTAAATCCTAATTAACCTTAAGTTTATTTTCTTTTACAGTTAAATATATCAATTTGTTGATCCTGCCAAAAAAAAAAAAAATGCCATCTGTCATAGTACTTTAAAAATTTTAATGAAAAATGTTTACTGAATCGTGAAAATATCTCCAGGAAGGTCATCATCCAACAGGGAAAGGTGTCAGCTACACTATGGAATTAATTTAAAAAATTAAAAGTAGTGAATGACCTAAAACTATCTTTTTAAAGGGGCTAGATATTTTAGAAGTCAACCTGTTTAACACAACCATTGCAAGCAGTTTTTTCAACTACAGAACCCTAATTTTCGTAGCATTTTTACATTTAATAGCTTCTTATTTTCTGTTTTTTTTTAGGAATTAAACCTAAGAAACTTGAGATGCTTCTTAACTTCAACAGGAAATTAAAGTTTAAACTTACACACCCCTAACCCTGTCAAAGATTCTCACAATGCTTCTGCCCAATTTATTTTGCTTACGTGATTTTGTAAATTATGTTGATTTTATTTTGCCATGCATTAGAATAGTATCACAGAAGAAAGACAAGAAATCTAAAAGTAAGAACACAGATGAACAAATCAAGTTCATAACTCATCTTGTTTTATCTCCTACCTGCAATGAACTGTTTGTTTTTTCGAGGAGACCGTGGTTGTCTCTGGTATAAGTCACTTGATCTATATAAGTCAATGGTCCCCATGCTTAACAGTACTGTCTTCTGTATAAAATCCACCACAGCCAACCCATTGCAGTTCCCAAATGCAACTCTAAGAGAGAAAAAAAAACAAACGCAACTAGAATGTATCACAACAAGCATGATTATTTTTATCTTCAAATCAATCATAGGATTATTGAAAAGTAATGTCTTAGGGTTGGGGAAGTTGGGCAGTGATTTGTGTAAAGTCAAGAAGGATGCCTTGCCTTTCTGACGGATAAACTGCCTTCATATAATAGGCATACAATTTACTCCAAAAAAAGGATGATTGGCAATTATATTTTGCCAGCAGTTTTATCATGTAAGTCATGATTACCCAATCCGCTCTTTAACTAGACCTTATGTTTTCACAGAAGAATCACACAAAACCTTTTTGCTATGCAAGGGGGAGAGGTCAAGAAATGTCACTAGCTAAAGATGCTTACATATGTAATTAGATGCCTTTTTCAAATAAAATTATAATTACTAGACTCCGAATTAATTATCTTTTGAAAGAGAGAAAAATAAAAATTAACTTCATATATCAAAGGCATTGACACTATGTTAGAAATGAGGAGATATAAAAAGTTAAATTTTCTTACTTTTGTGCTCTTTATTTTGTGCCCCTTTCAAAAGATAAAGACCATTTGATTAATTACTTAACTAAATCTCCTGAGAAATTTAAAAAAGACAGCTCTTCTAAGTAGGCATTTCGATTGTCTTAACCATTAGGCATACATTAACTCTCATTTTTCTCCATTTACAATATGCCCTCTAGCTTAACAATTCTGTCTGTATTTTTGCTTTGTAAACTAAATAAACACTAGTTATATGAATGTTGTTTTGCTTGTTTTATATACATTCCATGTTGTATTATTATTTAGATTGAATCATGTTTACAAACCATCTGCTTATTCTTAAAATGGTTCTTTCCACTACATCACACAAGTTAAAACACAACAAAAACAACACTTCTACCTATACTAGATGTTTTGCTAATTCACATAGAGCTCTACATCTTCCAGTAAGACAAACTTTGGAAAGTTAAAAAAAGTATTGTTATACTGGTCAGATCTGGGTTTAATTCTCATCTCTATCACTTATAGGACATGTGACTTTGAGAAAAATTAATGAATCTTGCTTGGCCTTAGCTTCTTTATAGTGATAATTACACTTCTACATTTATCTGGTTCACAGAGCTTTTATGAGTACCAAGTCAGAAAATTATTTTTAAAGTATGTTGAAATTTTTTCATGCAAAAAGAATTGATCTTAATATTATAAGTAAATGCAATATTATACATTACCAGTTATAACAAGTTAGTATCTTTAAACTTTTTATGTTAAAATATAGCAAATTACTTCTGCTTACAGACATGATAGAGTTTCTAAATGCAATAATGACTGAAAAAATGTAGGCAACTAGGATGCATGACCTTCTATATACCATAAATAATTATTTTTGTATTGGAATTAAAAATAAAAATACTGAGAAGTTATAGCTTAGGGCTGGAGAAGTCAGGCAGTAGTTGTCAGAAAGTCGGTAAAGAGACTAGATTTAACCTCCTATTTTAAATTACTAGAAAATTGGACAAAAACGTATTAAACAACAGTTTTCACATATTGTCAACAGGCAACATAGAAGAAGATGAGAGAAGGATAGCAACCAAGGTAATACATTTCACAAATGTTCTGTGTTAGTGACTGAAGATAGTTCCCAGGCTTGGGTACAGGAAACTAGAACTCATAGAGAGGTTGATGGTCTCATCTAGTTGAGGAGGTCGAGATGAGAGACTGAGGCTGCAGAAATAGCTAGAACTAATAAGGCAAAATAAACTGCACAGGGACAGAATACCAGAGATTTGCAGACAGATATCCTTGAGACTTTGGCTGTGTACTAATCTGTGCATCCATGTGTAGAAGCTACTCAGGGCCTATAAAAGAGCTACCAAAAAGATAAGGCAGAACAATTCCCAGAGCTCACAAAAGGCTAAGAATATTTTATGTTACTACCAACAAAACTGCAGAGATCTAATACATGGAACATCAGATCTAGGAGCGTCACTTCAGTAGTGAGACAAATTAGCTACAGATTCCAAGTAACTTAATTTCGTTCCAGGAAAAAATTGAACACTACTGAAAAAAGGCAAAAATACCACCAAAAATGTAAAATTCACAATATCCAGTATATAAAAAGTAGCAGGCATATAAAGAATCAGGAAAATATGATAACCAGAGGAAAAAATAACTCAATAGAAACATATCCAGAAATGAAAGAGATGATAAAACTAGCAGATGAAAAATATTGAACGTGCCTTTAAAAGAATATTACAGATAATCAAGAAGGTTGAGGAAAACATGAATGTGACCAAGGAAGGAATGGAAGACTTAAAAAAGCCAAAGAGAGATAAATGTATATGAAATTTAAACATTATCCACACATTAGACATTACACTAGAAAAGAATAGAGAATGCTATCCTCTGAATGTTTGTGTTTTCCCAAAATTAATATGTTAAAACTTAACCCCCAAGGTGATTGTATTAAGAGGTGGGAACTTTGGAAGGTGACTAAGTCATGAAAATGGAGCTCTCATGGATAAAATTAGGGCCCTTATGAAAGAGGCCCTAGAGAGCTGCCTCACCCCTTCCATTATGTGATGATGAATTTAGAAGGTACTATCTATAAGGAACAGCTTCTCACCAGACATCAGATCTACTGGTGCCTTGATATTAGACTTCTCAGCCTTCAGAACTGTGAGGAATAAATTTCTGTTGTTTATAAGCTACCCAATTTATAGTATTTTTGTTTACAACATCCTAGACTAAGTGAACCTGAAGAAATAATAGAAATTAGTTAAAATGAAATGAGATTTTTAAAACTTTAAAAAACAAAACTCCATAATTGGAGTTTCATAAAAGAAGAAGAACAGAAAACATATTTGAAAAAATGATAGCCAATTTAGATAAATGATAGACAAAATTTGAACACAGTAATAAGCCTGCAGATAATAGAAACTTAAAGATCCCAAGCAGAATAAGAATGAAGAAAAATAAAAAGGCATCATAATCATATTGCTGAAGACAACTAATAATGAAAAGAAAATGTTAAAAGCTGGCAGATAAAAAAGCATATTTCTTACATGTAAAAATTAAAATGATGAAATCATTTTAAAAAATTAAATGAAACTATACAAACCAAAAGATAATGGAGTGGCATCTTTACAGTAAGAAATAAAAATAATGTCAACCTAAAATTGTATACCCAGCAAATACATCTTTCAAGTGGTGGAAAAAGAATTTTTGCAAAAAAACCAAAGCTGAAAGAATTCGTCACTCACATAAATGGATTACAAAAATAATAAGGGAAGTCTTAGAAAAAAATGATTCCAGATGGAAATATGGATCTCCACTATATAATGAAGAGCAACAAAAATGTTAAATATGGAAAGTAATATTAAAGACTTTTCTCATTTCTTTAAAGGATAATTGACTAAAGCAAAATCAATAACAATGTATTGTGGGGTTTATAACACATGGAAGTAAATTTATGACAATAATGCAAAAAACAGGAAGATAAATAGAAGTATGCTGTTGTAAAGTTATTAAAAATATGAAAAGTGGTATCACTCCATTTATTTAACTACTTATTTGATAATTCAAAGATACATATTATAAACCTGAAAGCAAACAAAAAAAAAACTAGAAGTATACCTAATAAATCAATAATGAAAATAAAATGGAATCATTAAAAGATATGCAATCTTTCCCTGAGAAGAAGGCAGAGAAAAAGAAGCGAAAAAAAATGGGTGGGGGGCAGGGGGACAAATAGAAAAACAAATTGGAAAATGTTTGGCTTAAACCCAGTCATGTAGATAAGCATATTAATGTAAATGATTGAAATACTCTAATTATGGGCAGAGATTGCTTGAGTGGATAAAAAGTAAGACCCAATTATATGGTGCCTACAACAAATCCACTTTAAATATAAACCAAAATGATGGAAAACATTTACAATGAAAACACTAATTTAAAAAATGCTGAAATGACTATACTAATATAGACAAAGTATATTTCAGAACAAGGAAATTTTGAGAGACATATAGGGAGAATGATTAAGGAATCAGTTTATTAAGAAGATATAGCAATCCTAAATGTGGATTCATCTTATGATAAAGCTTTGAAATTCATGAAGGAAAACCAATAGAACTGAAAGGGAAAATAGACAAATCCACAATTAAGGTGGAGTATACAAACATTCCTCTTTTAATAACTGACAGAATAATCAGAGAAAACAAATCAGTAAGGATACAGAAGTTGTGAGCAACACTATGAACCTCCTTCACAGAACTAAAATTTATGGAACTCTTGAATCAACATTCATAGTGGCATTGCACTTATGAAATACATAGGAATAAATTTAACAGCAAATGTGGAAAATCTGTACATTAAAAATTATAATTATTGTTGAGAGAAATTAAAGAAGACTTAAATAAATTGAAAGATGTACCTTGCTTAATGGTTAGTAAAGTCCCCAAATTGATCTACAAATTCACAGCAATTTCAAACAAAATCCCAGCAGACTTCTTTTTTACTTGAGAAACTTAAAACATGATTGTAAAAAATATAGAAAAATATAATAGACCTAGAACAGCCCAAATTGTTCTGAAAAATAAGGAAGTTTGAGGATACAGACTATATAATCTTAAGACTTAATTAAAAGTATTGGAATCAAGACAGGTTGGTATTGGTGACCTAGATATCTAGACAGACCTAGATATTGGTGGAACAGATGAGTACCTGGGAATAAACTCACACATACATGGTCAAATAATAATTGACAAAAGTGCTAAGAAACATATATAGTCTTCAACAAATGATGATGAAGCCATTGTGTATTCATAAGTAAATAATTGACTGCTCTCTTACCTTGGGTTATAAGTCAGGGCTTTTACCTACTTTCACTGGGGCTTCAGACTACTGCTCTGCATCCTGCTCCTACTGTGACCTGACAGGCCTCTGATGCACCCTGTTGTCACTGGACCCATGTTACTGCTATGTTCCATGCTATTACTAT